GGGATGTTTCATGGTGTCACTTACCCATTCGATACGCGTACGAACCGGTCGACTGTAGGGCCGTGCAATTCTGCAGGGGATACGGTTTCCCGGCGACGATGATCTGAAAAAGACACGGCGTCTTTTGCACGCCTATCTTGTTTTTCGCCCAGCAGGCCACCGTCCCGTAGTCCATGTCGTTGGCCGGTGTATAATTCAACCTGGAGCCGTGCCAGTGGCTGGTGATCAGGCTGAGCGGCTTCACCTGCGTGAATCGGCTGGCCGGCACGTTCATCAGCTCGCCGGAGTTGTTGAACGTCCAGTGGAAAGTGATAGGCGGCGGTTTCGATTGTACGCCGCACACCAGGGAAATCGTCTCGTGCTTCAGGGCGCCGACAACTTGAGTGGACGAGCCGTCCTTGCAGACAGGCGCGTCTGAAAGCGAGATCGGGCATACGATTCGATTTGTCAATTTTCGTTCACCAGAAACTCCGTGGGTTTTCGTGAGTCTTCGAGTGATGAGATAACTTTTTTAGAGTGGAAACTGATCCGGTGATAATTGCTGACATTTGTTGGAAATATAGAGGCGTAGATAAAATATCCCTTGAAACGCGAAAATGATTTGTAGCTGCTATTACAAATAAATATGTAGTGTAAGGTTTCATTTCAATTTCTCTTACAATACGATATAATTCTCGATATAATTGTCGCTATATTTATTCAAGTATATTACATTACTGCTTGACTGAAAAATGACACATTGAATTTACCCAAGCATCTTTCCTCGTCAAAATCTTTCGTTACATTCACTCGTGTTAATATAATTTTCAAAGGGATAATCAATTGAAAAAGACGACGTATGTTACAAATTTACTTACACATTATATCCAATGTGACTGGTCTACTGGTGGATTTCCCCTCGACGTTGACTGCCATGCACGAATATTCGCCGGCGGAATTTCTAGTCACGCTTCGCAAAACCAAAGATTGCCCGCTGGGAAGAAAAATTCGTGCAGTCGAGTTTTGATGGAGCTCCTTGCCGTCTTTGTACCACGCCAGCTTGTACGCTTTCGGATTCGCCTGAACGTCGCATTCGAAATAGACGTCATCGCCTTCGTTTATGTCGTTCGCCTTCAGACTCAAGCCTAGCTTGATTGTCACTATTGGAGCATCTGAGGATTTCACGCGCAACAAACCAACGTGTGAGTATATATTATTATCATTTATGACACGAAACGTAAGCACCGAATTTTTGATGTTCAAAATTGACTCTCTATAAATGTCATCAACATATTTTGTCATACTCTGTATAATGAAAAACATAAACATCGTATCAGGGAGTTATATTAGAAACATCAAATTACGTTCTATTTTATAATTTTAATATGTAACTGAAATAAGGCACAATTTTTGTTTTATTTTTTATAATTTTACGTTCACAACAGTGAATGAACGCTTGAATAAGAAAGTGAATTATAAAAAAAAATATTAAAGAAATAGATAATTAAAGAATCTTTATGCATTTATGAAGTCTTGTGCAAAACGTATGTACTAGTAAAATCTTCTAATATTGTTTTAAATATAGTACTATCAATATTACCAACATTGATAATTAATAGCATACAAAAAATAAATTTGATAAGGAAGTAACGTTACTTTTAAAAGTACTATTAGAAGTACCATTTCTAGATTTAGTAATAAAAAAATATATTTCCAAGAAAGAGAAGCTAATTTCATCTGTGGCAATGTCTATTCATATACCTCGTCTATAATTACACCCAATATCATATTGACAAAAATGCATCCCATTACAAATTGCCAATGTCCTATCTTATTAATTCGAAATTTACATATCTGAAAAGAATCGTGCATTTAAAAGTTTTAAGTTTAAATCCACTTTACTCACAGTGAACAAGCAGCCGCCATTTATCCTCGAGAGCACTATTAGTTACAACTGGATTCTCTGCCCGGCAGATCAGATACTTCCCATCGTCCTCCATAGTCGGCACGTAACTCAGCACGCTTCTCGTGATGTTCGGACTATCTGCAAACTACGAAGAACTCAGAATCTAAGCTCACGTCTCGCCTGTCTCGCGGATACACAGAAATAAGACGCGCGGTAAGTGTAGGTTCAAAAATGTTCTACTCACATTTCTGGCCATATGTTTGACCTGGTGGTTTCCCTTCCACCAGGTAATCACAGCCTCTGGCCGGGAACCCGAACTGGCGCATTCAATCTCGTAGGTTTTTAACGCCGACAAGTGCGCTTCTTTGTTCGTAATATTCACCACCAACGGTTTCACTGAAATTCAAAGAGTGTCGTTGAATCGATACCGGATACCTTTCAAATTGCGATTTCGTACGAATATTTCGTCGGTAAAACACGGTTCTTTTTATTTATTTATTTTTTTTTTTTTTTTTTATTACGTTTCAATGAAATTTTTGACGTCGTTTCGGAGCAGTTACGGAAGCGATAGAATTTTACGAGTATTGAGATCTTCCTTCTTGAAAATTTCTTCGTCGTTTTGGCTGCAGAAATAAATATATAAAAGGAGAAACGTTTCAGAAACGTGTACCGGCAATTCCGGATAATTAAATTTTTCTACTTCGTGGAATTTCTACTGAAATGAATTTTCTATTCGATGAGATTGCAGAGTGACTATATGAAGATGTAATTAATAAACGTCTTACTGTTAATTATTTCATTATCGTATAATGTTTATCACCTGGAGGTTGGAAAATGTGAAATGGAACTACTCTTGTGAAACTACTTGGCACTTGAATTTCAGGAGTTAATGCCATTCGTTAAATTTTATTCTATCGTTTAGTCTGTTCAATGTTACGTTCACTATTAAGAAGATTTATCGTAAAAATTTTAATACCTCCTTTTAATATCCCCATCACGAATAATCAGACGGTTTGTATGATTTTTTAACGTAAACATAAATTTGGAAAATATGCCGTAAAAAATGATACAAAATTTAACATTCAGAGGAGATCGAAACCTCTTCATACCTCATCTCATACAATTTTGTGAAGAATCAATTATTTTAAATTATAAGAACTTCATTTTAGGAACTTCTAAATTTTTTAAATTACATTATAATTTATTTTAACTCTACTATACATAAAATTTATTTTAACTCTCTTCTCCAAACTTTAACTGACCACGATAAAAATCTTATCTTTATTATTTTACAATATTTTGCTCGAACATTTATACGTATATATTATGTATCAAAGGACAAATAATGAAAGAATGAACGAACAACTAAATATAAATTTAAAATAATATAAATATAGATTTATAGATAAAAATATGAATATATTTAATGATATATGATATACTCAAATTTTAAATGAAATGAGATCTGGTTTGATTAATAAAAATTTAAAAACTTTCACGTTGAATGAATTCGATTAATTTTTAGAAATGCTATACAGATAGATTTTGTCCCATTTCCAACTATCTTAGACAATTTATTCAAACCATGTAAATGTAGACCCAGCTGTATGTTAACGACGAACAAGAATTAAAATCACCGCTCTCATCGACCTAATTCAGTCCTTCGACATGGAATATTTGGATTGTCACCTAGTTCCCACGAACACGACAGTTTATTAATAAGCTTGGGGAGCTTGGGCGAATGAAGATTTAGCTCTTAACGAGAGGTAAACATTCCGTTAACATCCCGACAGTTAACAAAGTTGAGATAATTTCTTACTTACGATTAATATCCAAAATAATCTCGGAGGTAAGGGGAGCAACGAGATGCGTGTTGCTCGCCCGACAAATGAGCCTCGCTCTGACGAACTTCCTCGTGACGTTCGTGATGAGACGATTTATCGTAATGTCCCCGTGCTCCAATGTATACGTGTCGTCTGTCTCCCCCTCGAAATGCCACGTGACCTTCGGTGGCGGTGAACCCCCCATTACCTCGCACAATAAGGACAACACGCTACCCTCGTTGAACGGCTGCAACACCTTCGCCAAACTTCTACCGTCCTCAGTGTAAATCACAGGCTTGTTTGGTGGTACTGAAAGTTGATTTATACACGTGAGTCAGTATCTGTAAGTATTTCTCTTTCCATGTATGATCTTTTAATCCTCTTCTAAGTAGTATTAGTCAGAGTTACAAAAATTTAGATCTAGGTTGCTTGATTTTAGTATTATTTGTTCGACTTGTGACCTTACTTTTTCTTCAGTCTTTCGTATAATATTCATGGATAATATCATATATTAGTGACAATAATATATAACATGTTCTGAAGTAAATTTTACATTTGTCAAGAGTAACTCTGTTTTTTTGAAACTTATTTCTTAAATTTCTTCTCGTGTATCATCAGAGTAATCATCTATATTTCAATCCTCTTCCAAGTAGTATCATTGA